TATTCTTTGGACACAGATGACTTAAATATGATGCAAACCAAGCGTACGCGGATTTTTTTTTTATTCTTGAACTAAGGATCCAAAGACTGGTTATATTAAACACTTGAGATTACGAAGCTTATTGCACTGTTTGCAATTGCAAACTATCTGATCTATTGCAACACGCACGCTCGCAAAAGCACCAAAAAAGCTATGGCAACATAAAAAGACAGAAAAACTGAGGCGACTTTTTGAAGACTTCATTGAAAATGTAATGAACGCAAAAAAGGCTGAAATATTGCTATGTTCCGTATTAATAATAATAATAGATTGGCGCTTACACATATGTTAGTGTTTGGCCGAGCTTCTCCTCCGATTTGTGGCGTGCGCCTTGATGTTGTCACACAAAGCGGAGGGACCTACAGTTTTACGCCGACTCCGAACGGCGATTGTATTTTTATGAGAAGCTGTTTTTCATGGCAGAAATACACTCGGAGGTTTGCCATTGCCTGCCGAGGGACGACCGCTGTTAAGAAAAAAAACCGTTTTCTATATTTTTTTGATGTTGCTTTGACTAGGGCTTGAACCCAGGCATTGTGGAGTGGAAGCGCGCACTGCTTACCACTACACCACAGCGGCCGACAGCGTTCCGTATTAGCAGAACCTAATTTAGCATTTTCGACAACCGACCCCTAACCAAATGTCTACAAGAAAAAAATAATAATTAAAAATCAACGCGATTCTTTACCACCTTAAAACTTGCACATTATTGCCCTGGAATTTAATGGGCTATCAAACTGCATACTCAAAAAAATTCTAAAAAACTTGAATAAAAAGTTGAAAATCTAGCTGAAACTTTGCAGATTTTTTATAATTTTTGCACAAAGTTTGAAATGTGGATTTATATTTTGTTTGGTATATAATGAGCTACATAGGCTTTTATGGGAAAATATTAAACATTAAATAAACAAAAGAGAAACAGCCAAAATCGATCAAAATGTTGGTGACTTAATCAGCTGATCACAAGTGTATGTAAAACTTAATTTTTATATTAACGATCTCAAACCAGTTTACAATGAATTTTAAATGTGCTCTGTCGAAATGACATTTTAATATACCTTATGTATACAATGTCCCTCGGCAGGCAATGGCAAACCTCCGAGTGTATTTCTGCCATAAAAAACAGCTTTTCATAAAAATACAATCGCCGTTCGGAGTCGGCGTAAAACTGTAGGTCCCCCCGCTTTGTGTGACAACATCAAGGCGCACGCCACAAATCGGAGGAGAAGCTCGGCCAAACACTAACATATGTGTAAGCGCCAATCTATTATTATTATACAATAAAAGTATAATATGAATAATTCTTTGTGCATAAATTTTAAAAATATGTTCTTGGGTATGAAATGGCGTTTTTTAGACCAAGAGGAACGTTTTCTCATGCCGAAGACCTGACAATACTGGACGAGGCATCCAAGAATCTCTTCTATGAGCGCGTAGAGGGGTACATATTAGCGCTGACACGTATAAAAATCGTGCTTGGCGATTTCAATGCCAAGCTGGGCAGCGAAGGGATCTTTGTACTATGGGAAATTTGACCCTATTTTGTGGCCAAAATTCTAAAAGTTGAGATATCAAATTAAAACTTGGGCCAGTAGTAGTACTAGAAGTAGTGGCCTTGCCGCGCAAAAATAACCCGTAATGGTCACACCTCCAAAAAATAGCGTAACGGTCACACGGGGTCCAGTGGACCCCAACCCAATAAACAGATGCCTCGTACGTTCTATTTTAAATATCGACTCGAATCCTCCACTGACCTTAAGTTTAAAACTTTCTCTTTGTTATCTGACAGTTTTTTTTCCAAGTTTTAAATTATAACACCGTGAATTATTTCATAAAACTCATGATTTTGTACCAAGTAGTTACCTAAGAAAAATTATAATTTCTTTAATATCGCACAAGATCGCAGTATAAGATTATGGGGAAATAAGAGATCAGGGACTATTCTACAGATTTATGATGAGTTTTTTTTAAACGTTTTTAAACATTTTTTTAAAACACTAAATAAACCTTGTTTTTAATTGTACAATTTCACTTTAAAGTCACTTAAATGCGGACGTTTCTTTGGCACAACCTTTAAACTATAATTCAAGTTTTAATTGGTAAATATTTTGCTAACCGTCACTCCTTTCCACTTTTCACTTTTGAAAAGCAGCAAATAGATTACGAGATACACGCATTTGAAAGTGGCACAAAATCAAGCTACACATTTTTCGTTTACAGAAAATTTCGAAACTATCTGTTTGAGGGTTACCAAATCAACGGTAAGTCAATTTATCGAAAAACAGAGTATACAGTTTTTTACTCCGAAGTATTCTCTGTAAGATAAGACAGAAAAAATTAATTTCAAGCAAGTCAAGAAATTGACTTTAGCCACAAAATAGGCTCAAATTTCCCATAGTGCTTTGGTGCCACTGTCGGAAAAATCAGCCTCCACGACGAAACGTCAGATAACGTGCCGAGGCTGATCGATTTCGCAGGGGCCGAAACTTGTTAGTAAATATGTAGCACTAGACACCACTATCTTGATGCAGCCAACCATTGCGACCGAGTGACCGATGTCCAGAACGTACTTAAATTATGGAGGGAACACTTTTCGACCCTTTTGAATAGCAGCAGCACTTAAAGAAGTGGAGAAGACGAACCCAAGCCCCCAGTCGATGACGATGGAGTCGATGTCCCAGCGCCTGACTGTGATGAGGTATGAATAGCGATTATGCTGATGAAAAGTAACAAAGCTGCTGCAGCTGAGAGCCTGTCGGCCGAGCTATAAGGTGCTTGCCCGACAACTTGAATTCAAGTGTGCTCTGCCCAATCCACAAGAAAGGCGACACCGCCATGCGCGCCAACTATTTTATCGAGAGTGTTGTGTGAAAGACTGAAGTCCTGATTGCACCTTACCACTGTGGCATCCGATTTGCCAAATCCACCATAGATCTCGTATTCGCAATATGCCAAAACTTGGAAAATACTCGTGAGAATAGGATCGACTCATGCCTTCTATTTGTCGCTTTCGTATCACCCCGAAACTAATGACGTTGAGCAAGACAACCAGTTCCGTCAAAATTTAGGAGGACCTCCCAGAGTCGTTTGATACTACTCGAGGCTTCAGACAAGGTGACTCCCTTTCATATGATCTCCTTTAACTGATGTTGGAGAAGATAATAAGGGCTACGTCTGTTCTGCCTTCTCGGAATTAGATAGAGAAGCACAGCATGTGGGTGTGGTGGTAAACGAGGACAAAACGAAGTATCTCCTGTCATCACACAAACATTCAGCGCATTCGCGCCTGGGCACCCACGTCCCTATTTACAGTTATAATTTCGAGAAAGTGGAGAATTTCCTTTACTTGGGAACCAGTATTAATACCGATAATAATGTCAGCAGCGAAATGTAACGCAGAATCACATTTGCCTACAAGTGCTGCTTCGGACTGAGTAGGCAATTGAGAAGTAAAGTCCTCTAGCCGTACAAAAATCTTACTCTATAAGTCACTCATCATGCCCGTGCTGGTTTATGGCGTGACCGCATGGACAATGAAAACATCTGATGAGGCGGCACTTGACGTTTTCGAGAGAAAGAGAGACGCGTTGGCGTCGGCGAGTACCGCAGACGATGGAACGTAAGCTGTATGAAAATACAACGGTTACGATGGCTTGGTCATGTCGCACGAATGGACAGAAATGCTCCAGCTCTAAAAGTATTCAACGCGATGGTGGAAGAGCGGAGAAGGACTTGGATTCACTTGACATTCCCAATAGGCGTCTGTTTGCACAGAAGAGAAACGACTGGTGGACTCGGCAAAAATCACTTAGGCGGTGATGAAGCCAAATAATAAGAAGAAGAAGAACTTTGTGCGTCCTTGATGCATTTTCTCAAGCGAGAAATGGCCCATCAGCAATGTATGTATGTCTTGTCTGGCATAAGATTCAGTTGGTTATTTGTATGTAACTTGCGGACTTTAGCTTTCACAAATTGGACAGATATGGGAACATTGAACTTTCTCTCAAAACAAAACCATTGGTACTCGCACTGTTTTATAGTTTGCCGTTTCTCAAGTCCGACTTCTAAGTATATTTTTTTATTTTTACCTTTGCTCTCATTTGGACTAATTCTTATAAAAGTTGATTTGTTTATTTTAAACTCATCACACATCACTTTAACTGAAACACCACTTTTTAGTGTTTGCAGATACTGGTAAGTCACAGAAATGCAAAAAAATCAAATTTTGTGTGTCTGGTATGCATAAACAAAGAAAATTGTAGGTATTGGCAGTTAAATTGTTTTGAACTTTCACCTATGAAGATGTTTTGTTTTAAAGACTTGCATTAATCAAGGAATTGCACGTATTGAGAGTTGCGGTTGCCATGTACGCACTGTAAATATTTTTGGTCGGAAAAACAGAAATGAAGTTTCGAACAATTATAAGGCTCAACCTATGAAAAACGCGTGTTTAGACCTTAAGTCCAGATTTTGAGGGTATTCAAAATTCCTGTGCTTCATTTGGTCTCTAGTGGGTTAAAGTCCCACATTGACGGGGTTAGGCTTTCGATGCTTCCTCTTCGGAAAAAACACATGCGCAGTAAAAAGTTAACGATTCAAATCGACGAATTGTTTTATATCAATTTTTGTGAACTTCTGTTTATGTGTTTTTGTGCAACATACTTTTATTGGTTACAATAATTTTAAGTTATAGTAAACAATTTTTTAGTAAGTAATAGGCCGCCCCGACTTTAGATATAGGTGTGCGATATGTTCGCGAGTATATCAACGAGCAGTGTTGCTGGAACAGCTGATTCGATGGGTTTGCATTTGTACAACTTCTGTATTCGTCTTGGTTTACGTGTGACGCTGGAAGCTAATTTAGCCCATACCGAGAACTCAGATGTTTATATATACATTAAACACAATCCGAGGAATTATTGAACTAATTATATTTTATTTTGGTTTTAATTTTAGATTTTACGGCATAAAGTTGAAAATGTAAAGCGAATGAGTTCTCACCCACTGTTACCACTATATCTTACTGGTGGACAAGATGGTTCCGTTCAAATATGGGAATGGGGACACCAGCAAGCAGTATGCTCTCCGCGGCCTTCGGGCACTTTTGCAAAAGTAACGCGTTGCAGATTTTCTGAGCAAGGAAACAAATTCGGAATAGGCGACGGAGATGGAAATCTGAGTTTATGGCAAGCTGGCATAGCATCGCAAAACAACAGGCCATTTTTCGTAAGTAATCAAGCGATAAAATGTTATGTTTAAGAGTGCTATTTCTTTCCTTTATTTTGTTATGTACATTTTATCTAATTTTGAAGTGAAACTTCTTTGGAGGCGGTGTCGCAAATGGAGAGAGAAATTTGTAAAGCTGATTGTGTTGCATGTGCAAGAAGGAACATATAGCATAGACAAAGAGAGAATGAGGAAGAAAACGACATGTGCGAAAATAACCGAAATCTCGCATTTGAAAGTTGAAAACGTTGCCAAAATTTTGAAATTAAATGAAACACAGGGAAATGTTTGGAATAATTTTTATGGTTAAGTTACTGACATGCTCAATTTCAAGTCCGTCTCTTCTGACTGATGTTAGCTTAAATGTTCCCTCTCATATATCAAGACACGTATGTCTTCTATTTCTGAAAGCTACAACTAATTTTGTATTGCACGAGCCACTCCGTTGCTTATTCCAGGATTTTAATTTTCATTCCAGCACGTTTGATATATCAGATTCGCTTTTCAGCATTACGAAAGCGATACTATCCTCTCTCAATAAACGATTTACTAACACAAACAATTTAGTTGTGTAGCTGAATAGTTTTAGATCTCTTGACTCAGCGCAAAAATTGAAAATAATGGTAAAACCGGTGGTATTATTATTATTCTAACGGTTTCGAAAATTCTCACTCACATTCTCTCACGTTCGCGAACAAGAATATTCCACAATTATTTTTGCATTCTTTCATCGCGAGTGAAAAACGCAAACAAATTTATCATCTCTCACATTCGGAATGCTATCGACAAAAATATTTCCGCTGCTTTTCATTCGCGAACGAAAAAAGCAAAGAAATTTCCTCTCACTCGAATATGAGAAGTCCGAGCATTGCCGATGTCGGCCTCTCATAAATGGGAAAAACTTTGCAAGTAATCCATTCGCGATCACTCACAACAGCATATCGCGATTAACTTATCGTGAAAAACTTTCAACGACGTTGTATGGGAGATATTTTTACCAGCTTTTACTTAACTTGGTCATCCCGCAGAAATTTCAAATCGATGTTAAACTAACTTCCCGACAAGGTAGAGACTTGAAATTTTCAGCCTAACTCCAATCACGATGACAATACAATTTAAAATGTAAATGAATTCTCTATATGGTCCAGGGGTCTTGATAAAAAGGCGGTCAAAACATAGTAAAATTTTTGGCTAACAGAGCGTAATTTGCTAAAGAACGTAAAACCACTATAAAATTGTTAAAGCTGCCGGCGGTAGTAAATAAGAAGTATAGTTGCAGGCGCTAGTAAGTAAGTAGTAGTACGTAAGTAGAGGTCTTGCTCGTAGAATTAACCATATATTTATAAAAAAGTTGGGGAAAATAAAATAATTAACAGTTGCCCGTATTTCAAAAAAATCGCTGTACCTAAACTTTATTTATTGACTGTACATATACATATATGTACTAGCAGACCCGGCGAACTTCGTCCCGCCTAAAATAATTTTTTTGTTTTGAAACATTTTGGTCCAACATTTTCACCAACAGTTCACGTTCATGATTTTCAGTGACGCATTTATCTTCTAATATTACGGTTTGGTGGTTGTCAGAAGCACTGTTACCAACTTGGTGTTTTTCGCACTAAATTTAGTGCTTTTCTTTATTCAAAATGCGAAAGTTTTAGAGATTAGTGCTTGGTGCGTTTTTTGGTGCTTTTCTTTTTAGTTTGAAGACACTAAATCTGTAAATCTTAACAAAAGCAGGGGGGGCAAAACTTATAGAAATCGTAAGTTTTGTAAGAAACTTCACAAAAATCGAAACAAAATCATGTCACAATGACAATCATAAGCGAGAGAGCATATGTTTACCAACAAAATATGTGGCAGCACAAATGGACCAATCTGGAACAATTTTTATTGTGCTGTATTGGAGCACAATAAAAAAAATTGTCCCAATGAAAGTCTGTACAGTCACACGGTTGCCTCTTTTTATACAATTCTCATTGCCGTAAGTTGGCGAAAAGCAATATAGTGACAATAATTGCCCCAAACTTATCACACGATTGTTCGAGCATGCGGCAATTGTGACCATAAAGTGTTGCGCTGACCTCTAAATTCTGTTTTTTTCTCTGTTGTGTAAAAATGGCGTATTCTTAATAAAAAAAAATAAATCGATTGCATCTGCTTTGTATATTGCCGGCTCATTTTGTGCAAATTTGTTGTTGTTTGAAAGCAAAGAAGCAAAAACTTGTGCCCAACGAAAACTCACGCATTTATTTAGAAGTTTGATCGTATAGTTTTTTTTTATTTTTCGACGATAACTGCAACGTGCTATGTGGAGTTCAAGTTGCAACAGTTTTCTTTTTAATTTTGTTACGTAGAGGTTTTTTTATTCATTACAAGTAAAATTGGTACAAAAGAGTTATGTTTGTTTAAATGAAAGCTGCGAACTTACATAATTTATGTTTGGAATTAAATTTTATAATTATATGTACAGCTCGCAACAAAAGATAGCACCTTAACATTTTGATCAGTCTTGACTTTTTTCTTCTGTTGTTTAATGTTAATTTTATCCTATAAAACCATAGCTCATTGTCTAGAAAAAACCACATAAGTCCAAATTCCAAACTTTATACAAAAATTATAAACATTTCTTAAAATTTTGATCACAATTCAATGGTTTTTAATTTGGGTTTCTAGAAAAAATTTTGTTTTGCAGTTTACAAAGTAATTTACATAGAAGAAAGTGCATAATACCGTCAGCTAAAAAAATTATAAAAAATCAACAGGATCTTTTAGCAACTTCAAACCTCCACCTTATTGTACTAAATTTTAATGAGCTACAAAACTAAATAACCATTTTTTTCTAGAAATCCAAATTATAAACCGTGGGATTGTGTTCAAATGTTTAAGAAATTTTTATAATTTTTGTATAAAGCTTGCAATTTGGATTTATGCAGTTTTTGTTAGACTGAGCTATACTTTTATACGAAAATAATGAAGATTAAATAAGTAGAAGAAAAATAGTCAAGACTGGTCAAAATGTTGAGGTTCTACTGCTTTGTCGTGGGCTGTATTGCACTTTTAAGTTTTTTTTTTAATAAATTTATACTGTTATGGCAGTCCGCCATTTGGTGACATAAAATACCTTTCGTATTCTTCTCGTATGAGTTTTGCTTGTGGTGGTATATATCGCGGCAAAGATTCCGTTATCGGACTTCAAGAAAAATTATAATTTCACTACAAATGAAATTAAAAGTTATGTTGCTTCCGAAAACAAGGATATTAATTTCAGTGATTTTTGGACACATAAGGAAGCAAAAAAGTAAATTATTAATAAACAGCCTAAATATTGATGTGTATTGTTAACTTCAATTGCCGCACAAGAATACAATAAATATTGCCGCAATTTTGAAATTTTCATTGCCCCATGATTGCCAATCGAGCTATCACACGATTGCCGCACAATAAGCACAATATCGGCCTCTATTGCCGCATGAGTCAATGTATTGTGAAATCACACGATTGGGGCATAAAATGAGGCAATAATTGGTGTATTGCGGCAATCGTGGGATCCCAGCTTAAGAGCAAGAGTCTTAACATCGCTTGAACGAAGACATTTGAATTTACATATAAAAAACAGAATAAATTGATTTTTATTAATTTGAATCGGCATCCTTACAATACAATTTTTCATGCATACAAAGTCCATTAAATACTCCAATAAAATTTTAGTGCTTTTTTCGAGAAAAAACGCGATTTTTGTTGGGTTTTAGTGCTTTTTAAAATTCAAAACTTAGCAACACTGGTCAGAAGGCATATTTCCATTGCCGTCTTAAATAACCTAGCAAAAGTGTGTATGCATACAAAGATACGTAATAGTTTCAGTGCGTTTAAAAGGAGCCATGCCCCCTTTTCGCATAGCCCCAATTTTCTCTAAGAGTATGGGATTGATTTCATATATCTCCGCACCATGTGTATACCACAATGTATTTAAATTAACGACACTCGCGGAGAGAATTTTGGCAGAAGACTGATTCTGCAATCCACTTGAACAATATCATAAATAATACACTCAAAATGTATACATATTTACTAATTTATTTAGGGTCATATTACTTACAATCATATATGTATGTAATACTTCTATATTGGCAGTAAGCTAACTTCTCAATGTGTAAGCATTCCGAAATCAAAGCGAGACAGTCTAGTACCGTTTTTGTCAATGTATCGTGTACTTGAGTGCCGTTTTTGTATATGTGTTGTGTACATGTTTATTTATAAACGCATGTGTTCATTTTCTTTCGTACGTGTTTATTGATATATCTGTACTGTAGTGTTTTCGAACGGTACTAGCTCTTACTGCCAATATAGGAGTATTACATATATGCTTACAATAGATGTTCAAGTGAAAAACGATTTTACTTGTATGCATACAATATATGTGCATACATATTTACACAAGTATTACATATGATAAGCATATATAAATGCATAGTTGCATTAACCCTTATGCTGTTAGAAGGGAGAATGCAGTGCTTATCCCTATTCTTGGTATGTGCAGATTAGCGATGTTGCGAATTTGGAATTCTAACAGCTAACATCCGCGGATGCGGATGCGAATGCGAATGTGGATGTCAAGTATTTTTATGAAAAAATTAAACTAAGTTATTTGGGTAAATAAAAAAATGGCAAAATTAGTCATTTTTAATAATGTTTATTTTATTTAGTACTTGAATTTAAAAATTGGAACATTATATTTAATAAAAAGTAATGAGAATTGCACTGGGCTGAAAATATAGGATATATCCTCCTAACTTTAATCTTCACTTGAAGAATCTGGCATAATGGCGAGATCGTTGTTTAAACACCGCCTACAAGCCAAACTAGATGTGTCAGGTTTTTCTAAAGCTTTTTAAAAAGAATTCTTCATTCTCATTCCTTTGGCTGTTTCAGAATTTAGGGAACCTTTAACGTATTTAGTTTTTGTTATTAATTTTTGATGCTTTCTTCTGTGACTGCTT